CCTCAGGGTGATGACGACGCCTCCTCCTCCTCTTCCTGCTCCTCCTCCTCTTCCTCCTCCTCCTCCTCCTCCACCACCACTTCCTCCTCCTTTGCTGACCTTCCATAGCCCCTTGGAGACACTCAGGTTTACTTCCCTCCTCCAGGGACTAGCCTGCTTTTCTGGCCTTCCGACTGGCCCCACTCTGAGAGTCAGTGATGAAATGGAAACTTGGGAAACATCCCTCGGATGTTGCCTACTTAAACGTGGATTCCTTAGCTTTACTTATTTAATTTCGGATAGAAGTTATAAAGGATAAAATCATTTTATACAGATAATTTTTAAAAATTTCTTTAAAGATACTTTTTTAAAAAAATGAGTCTTTAGAAATATGAACTCACGCTATTTCCCCTTACTCACCCCCATTCTAAACCAACATTTGCTATTTAAAACTAAGCCTGTTTTTTTTCTTGGCACAAGGAGGAGGACTTCGTATGGTCTTATCATTCCATCTAGGCTTCTTATCCAAGCAACACCACTTATAAGGCCAGTGGTATTTGTCAAGGTGATAGCCATGATTCTATGCCTTTGTATATCAAGTCTGGCGTGGAACTTTTTCAGGCGAGGGTCGCTAAACGATATAGTATATTTGAGTATAGAAAAAAATTTGAGTGTACAAAAGAACTTGTTTCATTGGTTCTTTTATACCTACGGTTGTGAAAATAGGTATTGTATGATTTTTTATAACTATCTTTACATATATAAAGATATATATAAAAATATGTGTGGGTAAATACATAATTTGTGTACCTTAATAAGTGAGCTTATGACGTGGTAGATTTATGGCCATGAGAGTATGTTAAAGAAAAAATTATTCATGACCCTTGCTAAAGAATGGTAAGGCAGACTTTATTCAAGACCATTGCAATGGGTGTAGGGACCACTACAATGGGGTTTTGCAGTGGGGGAAAGAGATTGAGCTCAACTCTGAATATAATAAGGAAAAGTGGGAATTTATAGCCAAGGAGCAAGGTGGGGGTCAGTGGATGGAATATTATTGAGGAAACAACAGGTATAAGGGGATTTTGGCTAAATCGACCTAACAGGATTCTTGCTGACAGCAGGCCAGGGTGATCAGTCATCACCTGGGTATGGTAGGGGATGAAGAACCTGATCAGATTACAGAGGGTGGGGGATTCTGGTTACCCTGACTTAGCAGAATTCTTGCTAAAACTGGACAATGAAAAGATGAACACAGCTCAAAAGTCAGGGCCTAGCTGAGAAGAGTTGAACTCTGTCAAGTTAAGTTTCAATCGGTCAACAGAACTGATAGCCCTCTCCCACACTGATTTCTTTTCTTCACCCTCAGACAATATCGTCGCTACTCCTTTGAAATTATTTAATCATCAGTTATCTGCCTTTCAGCAAATTCAGTTTTCTCACTTCACAGACTTGATACTCCTTTATTTTTTTCCTTAAAGTTTGAGATATTCAGAAAAACCCGTAAGTATACTACCATATTAATAACTCATTGTGTACCCTTTTTAGTCTTTTTCTATACATGTATAGTGTCTTGAAAATTAAATGACATGTTGCTGCCTAATTTTGCAGCTCATTTGACTAAACATATTGTGGAAATTTATCATATTCTTTTTTTTAACATGTAACAAATTCATAAGGCTTAACATTTAACAAGTATAGAAAAGGTAGAGTGAAACTGTCTTCCTCCTATCCTGAAAAACATTTTTAATGGCCGCACAACAGTACATCATAAGGATGTATGTACCACGTATCATTTTTAGCCCATCTCCAATTGTTGACATCCGTGGGTGGGTTTGTTGTTACTGTTTGGGTTTGGTTTGGTTTGGTTATTTATAAACACTGTGGTTGAACAGTCTTGCAGAAACAACTTTGGGTCAATTTGGGGGTTTTTTTTAGGATAAATTTCTTTAATTTCCTTCCTTTCCTGATTTCTTTCTCTTTTGTCACCTTCTCTTTTTCCTGCCCCTGAATGCATTTATCACTCAAGCCTCAACTCTGTTCCTTTGCCTTTACCTAGCACTTCTTAATATTATCAGGCATCCATGCTCAGTGGATGCCTATCCCTTCCCTGTATTCTCTCATCTCTCCAGGTGCTATCTGAAAGATCCTGTCCAGAAGATAAATCTTTATCTCTTCCCTTTACAAATATCCCCATATTTTCAGCTGAACCATCTGTTTTATATCTTTGAGCTTTAGAGATTTAATCTGAATGGTGATCCTGCAGCTAAAAAGCTTTGAAAACTGCTATACTAAAGGGCCTCATAAGCATTACCTCTAAATTTCACTGACAAAAAAACAAACGGGGGTGGGGTCATATTGTCTGGAGTCAGAGTGGGACTGGGTTAACAGCTCTCAGTGATTGTTCTGAGAATTACTATCAGGTTGCTATTTTGAGCCTGTGTTTTGGCTCTGGTAGATAAAGGTATTTTTCTATGTCTTTTTACAAGTTATTAAAACCTGTACTTATATAGAAGTTTTAGTAATTTATATGTAATATTTTGGTTATAGATCTTAAAGTTCTGGACCATATGGGTCTCAAAAAATGACCAAGGTATACACATTAATTCTTCTTGATCATATTCTGTAGTCTCTAAGTATCGTGAAAAATATAAATTCCTATTTATATATTTATTTGGGGGAAATGATTGGGTTAAATCAGATTTCTGAGAATAGAGGTGCTTGCTTTGTAAAGTTTTAAAATAGAGATAGCATCAAAATAACATCAAGGTTTTCTTTTCACTTTTCTTTGCAGGGATGGAAAATAAAGGGAAGCAGTGTTTTATCGTATGTATTTCAGCAAGCCTTCTGAAATTTAACTAGAAATATGACTGCTCTTTCTTCAGAGAACTGCTCTTTTCAGTACCAGTTACATCAAACAAATCAGCCCCTAGATGGAAACTGTCTCCTATTCTTGATTATACTCGGGAAAATATTATTAAATATCCTCACATTAGTAATGAGAAGAAAAAACACCTATCAGAATTTTATGGAGTACTTTTGCATTTCACTAACGTTCATCGATCTTTTACTTTTGGTAAACATTTCCATTATATCCTATTTCAGGGATTTTGTACTTTTAGGCATTAGGTTTACTACATACCACATCTGCCTATTTACTCAAATTATTTCTTTTACTTATGGCTTTTTGCATTATCCAGTTTTCCTGATAGCTTGTGTAGACTATTATTTGAATTTCTCTAAAACCACCAAGCTTCCATTTAAGTGTCAAAAATTCTTTTATTTTTTTACAGTAATTTTAATTTGGATTTCAGTCCTTGCTTATGTTTTAGGAGATCCAACTATCTACCAAAGCCTAAAGGCACAGAACGTTTATTCTCATCAATGTCCTTTCTACATTAGCAGTCAGAGTTACTGGCTGTCATTTTTCATTGTGGTGATTTTATTTATGGCTTTTACAACCTCTTGGTCAGAAGTTATTACCTTGATACAGGCTATGAGGGTAACTTCCTATATGAATGAGACTATTTTATATTTTCCCTTTTCATCCCACTCTAGTTATACTGTGAGCTCTAAAAAAATACTCTTGCCTAAGTTCATTATCTGTTTTCTTGGTACCTGGTTACCATTTGTACTTCTTCAAGTAATTATCCTTTTACTTAAAGTACAGATTCCAGCATATATTGAGATGAACATTCCGTGGTTATACTTTGTCAATAGTTTTCTCATTGCTACCGTTTATTGGTTTAATTGTCACAAGCTTGATTTACGAGACATAGCATTACCTGTGGATCCCTTTGTCAACTGGAAATGCTGCTTCATTCCACTTACAATTCATAATCTTGAGCAAATTGAAAAGCCTATATCAATAATAATTTAATGTTTCCTTGTTAAAACTAATTAAAACTTACAACTAAAAAAAAAAATCTTACAACTACAATAAGAATCATAATTTTGTGAAGAAGAAAGGATGATGACTCAGGACATGTAAGGAACGAACTGAACTGAAGCTTTCCCCTCACCTAACTTTAATACCTTTTCAGAATGTGTCTTTTGGGACTATGATATTATTTTTTTTAAACAAAATCCAAGAAAATTTTTATACCTGTTCAGGAACACTCATGTTAAAAATATTCATTTGTTAACAAAAGTGAAACGAGTTAACATTTGGCCATACTGATGTTGGTGTTACCCAAAAAACTACTGGATGCAAACTGTTATGTAAACCTGAGATTCACTGCCAACTTTAAGATATGAACTTTAATAAACATTTTTATGAAAATTCAGAGCAAGAAAATTAAGATGGTTTTCTTAAAATGATTTGGTATAAATATTCTTTAATGTAAGAGGAAGATTAGCTCAATTTAAATTTAGCTTATTTTTAAAAATATATCTCTGTTTTTTTTTTTTTTTAAAGATTTTATTTATTCATTTTTTTTCCCCCCAAAGCCCCAGTAGATAGTTGCATGTCATAGGTTCACATCCTTCTAGTTGCTGTACGTGGGACTCGGCCTCGCGTTGGACGGAGAAGTGGTGCCTC